CTCTGCAGGGGAATAGCCGGGCTCCGGGAGGCACTGGGAGGCTGTTCCAGCAGGAATTCCCCATGGAATTGCGGGCTGTAGGTAGAATTCATCCAAACCTGCAAAGCTGAGACCGGAACCCAAACCTGGGCCCCCCGCAGAGAACAATCTTTGTGCTGCTGTGTCGGCCAAAGCCCCTGCACTGAGAGATCTTGGCAGCCTGAGGGAGGGCATTCTCTCCATCCCGGCAACCAGCATCTCCCCAGGGGACAATCCAAGTCCCAACCAATTCCTTTGGCCTTTCCACAGGGACAGTGACCCTTATTTGGTTCCATTTCAATGTATCTTTAGTCCCTCAGGGAGCAGCTTGGAGAACTTCCCCTGGGATTTAGAGGCTGAGCAGGGTTTGCTTTGGATTGCCTTGCACCTCTGGCCCCAGCTGGTGCAAACACAACTTGGGCCCATGTGGTTCAATGCACTTTCCTACACAAACAGTTGCTGTATCCCCTAGAAATTACCCCAAGTTCTGCAGATAAAAATGTCACCTCTGTCCCTCCTAAGTTCTCCCAGGTTCCCCAGCTGGGAGCTGCAAGGAGGCTGTGAATTCAAAGGCAGTAAGAGAAGATCTGTCAGCAAAAGGCACAAAGAAGGGGACAAGTTTCAGAAAACATTTCTGCAATCCAAGGAATAACTCTTTCCAGTTTCTCAGGGAGAAGAACAGGAACTCACAGCCACCAAGGCCTGACAGTCCCCTGCAGCCAGAGCTCAGCACACACCCAGAGAGGCAATTCCAGCATCTAAAGGAAAAAAAAAAAAAAAAGAAGAACAAAGTGATTTATTTTGTTTTAAAGTTCCTTTAAGTTGTTCCAAGCAAAGCAAGCCTTGCTCTGGTTTCAGTTGGGTGAACAGTGAGCACTGGGCACAGGGCACGTCATTAATGCCCAGGGGATGGGGCTTTGTGGGGGAAGAGCAGCTGATGGAGTTGCCCAGTCCAATTCCTGCCCAAGGCCTGATGGCCCAGGACAAACCCTCTGGCAGGCAGTGGGTTTGTTCCCTCTCATGGTCTGTGCCCAGTGTGTCCCTGTGGGCAGTGCCAGGCTGGGGACAGGCACACGCAGCTGGCAGCACTCTCTGCTCCAAAGACACTTCTGGCCTCCTTGGAAACTGCCTCTGACACTTGGATTTCTCCAGGAGAAATTAAGGAATTGCTCGTGGCAGTTTGGAGATGAAGGTATCCCAAAGGGAAGGAAAGAACAAATATTCCTGTCAGAGCCCTTGGGATCTGCTGGGCTGAATTGGGAAGGGCCCCTTATCTGCAGAGCAAATACAGGACAACCTCAAACACAAAGCCCAGACTGTCCAGTGGGGCGTGAAAGCACCACTGGGACAAACCTCCACTCTCCTGATTCTTTTCAGGGACTGCTCCAACCCAGCTCTGAAGCTGCCAAGCCCAAACTGTCCCCAGCGCTCTGGAACAACAGGATCTTCCCAGGGATGATGCATTGGAAGCACAGCCCTCATTCTCACCCTCCACACGCTCCCAGGCTCACCCCAAATTCAGGACAAGGTGCCAAAGGCCCCTCGGGCCAGGGCTCTCTCTGTCTCTGTGGGCTCAGGGACTGCAGCCACCAGGGCCCTCCAGCACGGACAGCCTGGACCCAGAGCACATCCCTCGGGATTAGCAGCGTCCTGGGCATACCTGGAGACAGAAACCATCAGCCTCTGGGACAGCACTTCATTGCCAGCACACACAGCCTGCCAAATTTAGGACTGCAGCTCTCGGAGCACAAAGCCCAGTCTGACCCAGTTCTCCTGGGCACCAACACGGACTCCACAAACCCACAGGAATGAGAATGTTCTGCTGCTTTGACAAACTTCAGCCCAGCTTTGCAAACCTCAGTCCCTGCAGCTCCTGCTCTCCAGAGCCCCGTTCAGGGCTGGCTCCAGTTCCCTGGAGAACCTGCCCCAGCCCCACTCGGGGCCAGCCTGAGCAGAAGCCACTGGGCTGCACAAGGAAGAACCCTCCCCTGGCTGCTGCAGCTGGAGGGAGATCCAGCTCCCAATGGAACCCTGGCAACAGCCTCCCAGATGGTCTCTCCCCACCCCTTGGCAATGGCTCAGGATGGCAGCAGCTCCAGTGCCAGCTCGGTCCCTGCACGAGTCCTTGTCCCAGCCCTGCCACACGGACACACACGGGAGACACCCACGGGCACACAGGCCTTGCTTGCACAATTCCTCACCCACAGCTGAGGGAAAGCCACACAATATTAAGAAATACCCTGGGCTGAGAGCACTCATCACTCCAGTCCATCAGGAGTTGGAGGCAGTTTGGTAGGGAACAGACCCAAATTCTAATCCTACCTCTACATTTCTAACAGGTTCTCTTAGAACGATCCTGGACAGGAACTCAGACAACAGAACCCAAACACTGCCCAAGCAATAACAGAAGGTTTGCCAGGAAGAACAGGAGTTCCTTGTTTTCCTTAACACCCTGGGACTGTAGGACCCAATCTTTGCAACCAAGGGACACCAGAGATGTGATTAATACTTAAACCTCTCCCCCATGGGTCTGTCTCAGAGAACTGGGCCAGCCCTGAGCTACTCCCAGGTGCCTGCAGTGCTTTGGGGAGGGGCAGGATGACGCCCCACTTCTGCTTGGAAACATCCAAGATGAGGAAAAGCCACTTCCCTTCTCTCTCTCTGACCCAGAACCAAAACAGTCCTGTAGGACAACATGGACTATGCACGGAAGGCCCAAGTCAGTGGGGGAAAAAACACCCTAAACAAAGCAAACCACCCCAAATTTCCAGATAAAAACAGGCTGTGCTCCTTAACAGGAGCACACCAAACTCATTGAAGCCAGAGAGGAAATCACAAACAAATAAAAGACCCAAAAGGATGCTTTGCACTGATACACTCTCTGGTTGATCATTCCAAAGGAGATTCTCCACAGATCAGAAGCAATTACCAATAACTTGTCCTCTGTTGAAAATTAACAACTTGAGGGGCTGGACATGTCCAGTGAGGGTTCAGGGTCTGGTGGGTCCTTTATGGCTGATCCCGACCGGCCCAGGCCAAACCCAACCACCCCCATGGCTGCTCCATCCCAGACCCGGGGACAACATTCAGACAGTCTGGAAACACTCCCCTTCCCTGCTACTCCCTCCTTCCTTACACATCCAGTGCCCAGGGAGCAAATGCCAACAGGCAGGAGGAGAGAAAGGTGTCCCTCTGACTTACCCCACCCCACGGGCAGCACCAGGAGCCCCCAGCCCGGCCGGCGGGGCTGCAGCCTCTTGCCTTTGGCTGCTCCCAGCCCAGGGCACTTGGCAGAGCTGGGCTGGATCAGGGCTTTGGCCTGGCCTGGAAGAGAGGAGAACAAGGCAATTAAGGGCACTGGGCAAGTCACAGGCTCCTGCCCTTCACCCTTCTGTTCAATTGCTCACTAGAGAGTTTGAGCCATGAAAAATCCAGGGGGGACACCAAATAAAATGTGGCCTTTTCCAGCATTTCCATTCCTATCTCTTTCAGGCACTAAAAGCAGGCTCACCTTTCTTACTGCATTCCTTGCCCAATTTGAACTGAACCCTTTTGGTTCCAACCCCCCCTTGTGAGTCAGTCCATCCTCTGCCACTGGACTTTGGACAAGGGAAGAGACCCCTGGGATGCTGGAGCCCAGGAAAGGAGGGAGAGAAACCTGACAGGGAGAGGATTCAAGGCACTCCAGAACTCAGAAATATGTTCATGCCTTGCCAGCCCACCCCAATTCTGTGCCACCCACCTGAGCTGGGCAGGTGAGGCCAAGGCTCCCCTTCCTCCTGCCAATCACTGTCCCAGCACACGGATCCCCGGGCTGGGCAGCACTTGGGAAAACTTGGGAAAGGCAGAAGGGAAATGGCACTGCCTGTCAGAAAAGGAGTGTCTGTGAACATCCCTTCTGCACCAATGTAATCCCACCCCTCTGCTCCAATAAACACAGGGCAGGCAGGTCTCTCCAGCCCAGGGAGAACAGGAAGGAGAACTGCAGGAACACAGGCAGGCACGGGCAGCTCTTGGCACTGATTCCCTGCAGACCTCTCTGCACTTGGGGCTCTTGGCACTTCATTTATAAAGAAGGGGGGGACAGCAGCCCAGGAATGCCCCTCAAAACCAGGGGCCTGGGCAGCTGGAGATTAGAGGAGGGGAGTTGTGAGGGGAGACACGGAGAGAGAACAGGAACAGGGGTTGTTTGGGAACAGGCTGTGTGTCCAGCAGGGAGGGGAACTGGAAACACGGGAGGCTGGAGGAAGGCAGGGGGGGAGCACGGGCCTGCCTTGGATGGATCCTTTTTCCCTTGGCTCAGGGGCCTCAACTCCACCCTCTCTGGGAGCAGCAGGGAACTGCTGCAGGGGAAGAGTTCATTTAGGCACAAGGCAGTGATGCAGCCACGGGGGCAGGGGAAGAGGGGAGAGGAACTGACACCAAAGTGACACCATCACAACTGAAAGGGACTTTATTGAGCTGCAGCACAAACACCTTCCCAGCAGGCCAGGGCAGGAGGTGCCCCCAGGACCACCAGCACAGCAGCTGGGCTGGCAGGAACACCATCTTCTCAAGGGATGGAGCCAGGGGCTGACAGTTGGGATCCATCCTGGGGGCTGGAGAGCACTCAGGCATCAGGGCCAAGTCCTGCCCCCTCACTGGCACACAGCCCCAGCAGCAGGGGGAGTTTCTGCCTCTCCCTCCACTATTCTTTGGGACCCAACAGCTCAAGGCTGGGGAATTTTAGCTTCATAAATGTTTTACACAGTTGAGCTGGATGAGAACTGGGGCATTTTTGAGTCTTCCTGACTCTTCCAGGGCTGCACTTGCCAGGATCCCTTGGGCCTGGTGTTTTGCTGACAGGCAGGGCACTCAAGGAAACAACTCCTCCTTAGTCAGGGAATAATAGGAACAGTTTGAACAAACACAATCCAACACATGGGATAGAGATTTAGGGGATACAAAAGAAAATGAGCAGAGACAGAACTGTGGCTCAGCAGAAATCCCTCCCCCACGGCCCCCTCCCGCTCCCCCCAGCCCACACAGCAGCTGGGCAGCCCCAGGGCAGCCAATCCCACACAATGAGCCCGACAGACCCCAGCCCTTCCATAACATCCCCCCCGGGCACAAAGTGAGACTGACCCCTGTGCAAGGTCCATTTGCTTCCCAGGTCATGTTGTCCTGGTGTTGTGTTTTGAGAATGGCCAGGATCCAGAGTTTCTGTAAGATAAAGCTAAAATGTGGCAATATCATTCCCTCCACTAACATTTATTCACACAAACATATTCCCATTTTCCTTGTCCACATTTAATCACTAATTCTGTGATGGTGTCAGTTGGGAGCCGAGTAGCCAAACCACTGCCAACTCACCCCAAATCCCTACAAAGATGACACTGCCCTAGTTCTCCTGTTGAATTGCCACAGGTACAGCACCTAATTCATCTCATGGATGACTTTTGTCTGCCCCCATCATGACTTCAAACTCCCTCTGGCACGGGTTATAAGCTCCTGCTTTCCAAAAGTGCTTCCCACTGAGATATTTGGCTAACCCAGCAGTGAGCCATGCATGCTTCCTCTCTTCTTCCAGCACTTGCTCTGGGGCTTTGCCCCATTTCCCCAGTGATTTGTGCTCACTGTCCAGGGGATCTACACTTGTTGCTTCAACCACAGGGCCGTTGGCAACTCCCTCACGAGGCCTCGCTCCTGCCCTGACCCCTGCTCTGGCTCTGGCTTGGATACACCATCTCCATTTCATGGGGCTGCCTTCCTGAGCATGGCCTGGCCTGTGCACCCTGGAGGACCTTTTTACCCACGGCCTTATGGGGATTTCAGGCCCTCTTACCATTTGTTAAGTTTCCACTTTGTTAAGTTTCCATACTCAGAGCTGCTTCTCCAATGGGGTCTACCTTTTTCTGGCTTCCAGTAACTTCCTATTCCCAAATCCCAAAGGCACTTCCTTCCTACCCTACTTCTGCCAGAGGCTCCAATTGGCACCATTACCATTGGCAGGAACCTTTAGTTCCCCCTCTCTGGCTCGGATTGGCCACAGGTCCAGAGCCTGGTGAATTGCTCCCTGAGCTGTTTCAAACCCTCCTGGCTGCTCATTTCCCACTCAAACTCACACTTCTGTCCTGGGACTTTATGGCACGGGCCAAGGATTGGTCCCAAAGGAGGACCTTGTCCCCAAAAGCCAAACAAACCAATAAACTGCTGGGCTTCCACCTTGCTCTGGGGGTGACAAAGCCTGAAGTCACTTGCCTAGTCCTGGGCAATACTTCCTGGGGACCACAGAACCACTGAGTTCCTAAAAATATCACAGGTTGGGCAGGTGCTTGAATTCTGTCTGGATTAACTTCCCCCCCTTCCTTTCCATGTGCTGCACTACTCATTCTAATGGTGCTTGTACTCCCTGAACCATTCCCTCACTGATCCAACCATCCCTTGTGCCCTCTCTGGCACGGACAGTGGGTCCAGGTGTTCTGACACACTCCCAGGGCAGAGGGTGGGACTGTGGAGCCACCCTCGAGGGGGACAGGTAAATGTGCCCTGCCTGCCCTGCCCAGGGAAAGGGAACTGCCCCCAGTGTTCCCCAGCACAAGGCAGCCCTTGGAAATATCCACTGCAATGGGACACTCAGGGACAGCAACAAGCACTGCACAAGGCTGCTCTGGCACAGGACCAATATTAAGCTCAGCTTTGCTCTGGACCACTTCACTTTGTTTGCCACTTCATACTGTAATCAAAACTTGCTGCCCTTGCAACTCTTTAGGGTGACCATAAATTAAAGAGGCCTCTGCTCCAGCACCCACGAGGGCCTGAACCGTCTGACAGGATCCATTTTTCCAGGGAATTCAAAGCTCCACCTGAGGACCACGGTCTTTTCTCACCCATCTTTGTGCTGGAGCTTGGCCTCCATCTCACTCTGCTTTCAGTTCTTTCCACGGTTACAACATTGGCAGCCCTGGCCCTGGGTGGAGCTCGGCATCCTGATCCCATCCCTCCTGGCCCCGGAACCGCTGGCTCAGCAATGGGGGGCCCTCCATTGCCAAGGGCACGGTCCCGGCGGGGCTCACGGGGGGAGCAGGAGGTCGAAGGCTCCAGCCCTCCTGCTACAACCTTCCACCACTACAGCCAACAGAGGAGCCTCTCCAGCCCTGCCTCCCAAGGCATCCTCAACAAACCCAGCCCAACTCCACAGGACAAACAGCTCCCTGTCTAGCCAGTCCAGTCTAATCCCAGAGGCTCCCAGGTCACGTGGAACAACTACCCAGGAAATCAGTCTCCAGTCCATCCCTTCCTAGCAGAGGTTTGGGTGAGTTTGGCAAATAGACAAACTGAGGAATTCCCCAATATTTTCCCAATTTAACCCCTGTCACACCAGTCACCTTAACACTGCCAGCCCTTAATTCTCCTTCTCTTGGGTTAAGGACTGAGGAAGTTGGACCTGGGTCTGACCAGGACATGTGCAAACCAAATGCTGGGGACTGGAACACACACCTTGCACTCCTGGAGCTCTTACAGACACATTCAAGAGAAAACAGCCAATTGGACCCTCACTGCTCATTTCTTAATCCCAATCCCACACTTCTTTGGCACTTGGAGCAACACTTTTATCACCCAATCACAGCCCATTAGAGAGTTCCATGTCTAGCAGGGACAGGTACCCCTGGGATACTCTCAGCAATGCCTGAATCCATTGCAGGGACCTTGCTTTGAACTCCCCAGGGCCGGGCACCCCGAGGATCTCCCCGAATAATCCTTTCGGTGCGCGCTGGAGTCCTCGGGGTGCCCCAACCCGGGGGGCACCCACAGCACTGTCCCTCCAGGGGGGCCAATTTTGTCCTAAACTGCAGGGGGATCTTGCCTGTGTCCCAGACTGGTCCGGGGATCTGAGGCCCTTCCCGAGAAAATCTCGGTGCCGGCGTGAAGGGCCAGAGATCCCTTGGAGCCATGGGAGAGCAGGCACAGAGTCCCTTCTGCAGGGCCAATTCTGCTGCCTGAAATCTGCTCTTCAAGGAAGCTTCTAAGACTCAGTTGGTGAGTTTTAGAAGCCAGGCATTCCATGCTTACAACACCCTGCCATGATCCCAGCCCACCAGGTGTCCTGGCAATCAGCTCCCAAAGGGCACACGGAGGTGTCTCCACTGCAGCTGATGGGAGGGGTCAGCATTACATGAGGCTTCATTTTCCTTTCCTGTATTCCTATTCCACATTCAGGGCATTCTCCAACACTTATTACCATACACACCTACCCTGATAAGGTTTCCAAGGGGCTTTACCGAGGAGCTTCCCAGGTCTTCTCTGTCTGGAGCCCTCAAAGTCCTCAGTGCCTGCCTGAGGAACCTCAACACAACTCACCTGCTTAAACAGGAACTTGCTGATACTTGGCTGCTGTCTCAGTTACTCCTTCCTTGTTTTTTCACCTTCCGTTGGTTGGTCCCTTTAAATCCCTTGGCTCAGCTCTGTGCAGTTTCCAGGCTACATCCCACTGCAAAAAGGATTAGTTCTTGTTACATCTCAACACTCACATATCATTCCCCATTTTTTCTTGACACTGGGCCATCAGGCCAGTGTCTCCTTATTTAAAGCATAGTTTCACTCCTCAGTGACAACAACTGACAGCCCTGAATCATAACACAGGCTGAGACACAAACACGGATGGGAACTCTGAAGGATCCACTTGGTTCTGCTCACCAATTAAAAGGAGCTTTCTTAACTCAAGAATAACAGACCCCAGGTCCTTGTTCTGCAATGTCAACTGCTATAAATGTGATCAGCCAGACCTGGAAAGGCCCTTTCCACTTCACCTGCAGGGCTGGCAGTGCCACCACTCGACACAGACCCAGGGGCTGGGCAGGAACGGAGGGGCTGGGGCGTCCAATCCATCGGCCCAGGCGGCACCAGGAGTTCCTGAGTTCCTGCAGGGGAGAGCCTCAAGCCAACAAAGGATTAGGAAGAGCATTTCTTCCTTTAATAGGTATATGTCCTGAAATATGGGGAGTTGGACAAGGCCTACTGGTGCAGCAAGGACAGACTCAAGGCTACCTATTAAAAGGATCTACTAGCACTCAAAAGCTGTCACTGTCCTTCTTTCAAGGGGAACTCAGCAAACTCTGTTTGCCAAAAGCCTCCAGGAGGATTTCCAGCTTTTGGGGCTCTCTTTTAACCATTTTTCCCATCACTGGAGCTGGGACTATCACCTGCCCTACAGGGGGAACAGCTCACAAAGTGCACTTGCAGGGATGCCATTAACTCAAAGTCCCTTCTCAGGGGGGTCACTGCACACCTTGGCCTTTCTTTGCCCTCCCCACCAAAGAGGCTTCCAACAGTTCTGACACATCTGGCAAACCCAGAGCTCTCCTCAGGGAATGCTTCCGCTGCTTAAAGGCTGCCCTTGCACCATCTAGCCAAGGCAGCAAATGCTTACAGGTTGTTGGAAAAGTTGGCATAACAGTCTTACCACACATCCAGAGGGAGCAATCCAGAGTCCAGCCCGTCCCACTGCCAGGAAGGCAGTTCATGGGCTGTCTGGGGCTCAGGGAGAAGTCACGGGGCTTCTTTTCTTTTCTTCCTTCCCGCTGTCCAGATTTCCTCCTGCAAAAGCAAAGGTTTCTTGGCTTTCCTTGCTCAAGGAGATTCAGCAAAGGGGATCTTTTCAATCTAATACTGGAAATTGCTCCAGGTTGTCATTTAAGGGTCCTGCAGGTCTCAGGTCCTGCACTATCAGGACCTGCACTATATCCATCTCAGGTCCTGCACTAATCAATCCCCTTGGCCATTGGTTTTCTTGGCAGGTTCTGGCATTCACCTTCTACAAGCAAACCAGGAGGAGCAAATTTAGCTGTTCCTGCAACCAATCCAAGCTGGCATTCTGATTTTAAAGGATACTGGCTTGGCCTTACCAGGAGAGATCCCACATTAGGGGTAATACCTACAGGTTCTGCCCTCTTCCACTCTCCTGCAGTTCCACTGGCCCACACAACAGGAACAACTGCAGCTGCCACTTCAGTCGGGACCTTGCTGCTGACAGGAGTTATTCCCTGCACAACAAGAGCTGCTGCTTTGACACATTTAGTTTCAGCAATTACAGTGTCAATATCCCCATTTTCAATTGCATTTCTGCCTCAACTTTTCCAATCAATCTCTTCCTAGCACAGGTTTGGGCAAATTTGGCAAATAGACAAACTGAGGAATTACCCAGTGTTTTTCCAGTTTAATTCCTGACACACCAATCACCTTAACACTGCCAGTCCTTCATTCTCTTTCTATTTTGTTTAGGACTGAGGAAGTTGGACCTGTGTCTGACCAGGACATGTGCAAACCAAAGGCTGGGGACTGGAACACACACCTGGCACTCCTGGAGCTCTTAACATTACAGTCAATAAAAACCAGCCAATTGTACCATCACTGCTCATTTCTTAATCCCAATCCCACACTTCTTTGGCACTTGGAGCACCACTTTTATCACCCAATTACAGTCCATTAGAGAGCTCCATGTCTAGCAGGGACAGGGACCCCTGGGATACTCTCAGCAATGCCTGAATCCATTGCAGGGACCTTGCTTTGAGCTCCCCAGGGCCGGGCACCCCGAGGATCTCCCCGAATAATCCTTTCGGTGCGCGCTGGAGTCCTCGGGGGGCCCCAACCCGGGGGGCACCAACAGCACTGTCCCTCCAGGGGGGCCCAATTTGGTCCCAAGGCTTCAATGGACAGCCCAAAAGGCATTTCAAGAGGCCTTCAAGAAGGCCTTATTTCTAAAGGCAGGGGGATCTTGCCTGTGTCCCAGACTGGTCCGGGGATCTGAGGCCCTTCCCGAGAAAATCTCGGTGCCGGCGTGAAGGCCCAGAGATCCCTTGGAGCCATGGGAGAGCAGGCACAGAGTCCCTCCTGGGGGCCAATTTTGCTGCCTGAAATCAGCTCTTCAAAGAAGCCTCTAAGACTCAGCTGGTGACTTTTAGAAGCCAGGCATTCCTTGCTTACAACACCCTGCCATGATCCCAGCCCACCAGGTGTCCTGGCAATCAGCTCCCAAAGGGCACACGGAGGTGTCTCCACCGCAGCTGATGGGAGGGGTCAGCATTACATGAGGGATCATTTTCTTTCCCTGTATTCCTATTCCACATTCAGGACATTCCCAGCACAAACCCTTATAAGGTCTCTGAGGGGCTCCATTGGGGGTCTCTGGTGGTCACCTGTGCCTGGAGCCCCGAAAGTTCTCAGTTACCACCTTATCAACTTCAAGACAATTTACCTGGTTGCAGAGGAACTTGGTGCTGCTTGGCTGCTGCCTCAGTTCTCTTCTTCATTCTTTCTTTACTTTCCTTGCTTAGTCCCTTTAAATCCCTTCAATCAGCTCCATGGAGTTTCTAGGGAACATCCCACTGCAAAAACTACCAGTTCTTGGTACACCTCCAAACTCAGACATCAGGGAGCGAGGCAGAAATCAACTAATTCAAAGCATTATCTCTAAATACTGGGACAAAAATGTCATAACATTCCATGACTTCCCTCTGTAAATAAACACCAACCTGCTCAGACACAAACAATAACCTGCACACAACAACAATCTGCCACTGGTGGTTCAACCCGGCCAAGTCAGTTGGGAAATTGCACAAGGTGAACTTTCTTCTAAGTCTCAGTTATGATACAAAAATCAGGGAGATCAGAGACTCCCCCATACAGTTTTACCCTGAGCAGAGAAAGAAACCAAAGCCATCCCCAGTGCTGCAATAGCTCAGGCTCCCAAAAAGGCCCAGGGGCTGCACTGGGGCTTTTGGCTGCCCTGGAGCACAGGGAGGAACACGATGTCACCACTCCACGGGCACAGCTGAGAACCCAAAGAGCAGCCACACCAGCAGCTCCTGGAAGCCCTGCTGTACTGGGCCTTGGGGAGGAAGGGCACTGACCTTTCTTTCTGCCTAGGAGGAAAGAGCCTCCTTGCTGAGCACTTCTGTCAAGGCCACCGGTTCTGAACATCCACTGAGATGGGAAGTTCATCAAGTGCAACTGCTTGGAATGACAAAGAGTGCTGTTCCCTGGATAACCTCTTTCCAAATGAACTCAGAAGTACACACTAGAGGTTCAAGTGTTGCCTAAAATTTCTTACAAGAACCACTGAGACTCAACTGGTGAGTTTTAGAAGCCGGGCATTCTTTTATTACTATGCTCTTCAATCATGCCAGGTGCCCTGGCAGCTCCCAAAGGGCGCACAGAGGTGTCTCCACTGCAGCTGATATGGCAGCATTACAGGAGGGTTCATTTTCGTTCCCTGCCCTGCATTCCTGTTCCATATTCAGGACATTTTCCAACACTTATTACCATACACACCTACTCTTATAAGGTTTCCGAGGGGCTTTGGAGGTCTTCTCTGTCTGGAGCCCTCAAAGTCCTCAGTGCCTGCCTTAGGAACCTCAAGAAAACTCACCTGTTTACACAGGAACTTGGTGCTGCTTGGCTGATGCCTCAGTTACTCCTTCCTTGTTTCTTCACCTCCCTTGGTTGCTCCCTTTAAATCCCTTGGCTCAGCTCTGGGGAGTTTCCAGGCTACATCCCACTGCAAAAAGGATTAGCTCTTGTTACATCTCAACACTCACATATCATTCCCCCTTTTTTCCTTGACACTGGGCCATCAGGCCAGTGTCTCCTTATTTAAAGCATAGTTTCACTCCTCAGTGACAACAACAGCTACAGCCCTGAATCCTAACACAGGCTGAGACACAAACACGGATGGGAACTCTGAAGGATCCACTTGGTTCTGCTCACCAATCAAAAGGAGCTTTCTTAACTCAAGAAGAAGAGACCCCAGGTCCTCTTTTTGAACATTAACTGCTATAAATGTGATCAGCCAGACCTGGAAAGGCCCTTCCCACTTCACCTGCAGGGCTGGCAGTGCCACCACTCGACACAGACCCAGTGGCTGGGCAGGAACGGAGGGGCTGGGGCGTCCAATCCATCGGCCCAGGCGGCACCAGGAGTTCCTGCAGTTCCTGCAGGGGAGAGCCTCAAGCCAACAAAGGATTACGAACATCACTTTAAACTTCAATATGTATATCTCCTGGAAGATGAGGAATTGGACAAGGCCTACTGGTGCAGCAAGGACAGACTCAAGGCTACCTATTAAAAGGATCTACTAGCACTCAAAAGCTATCACTGTCCTTCTTTCAGGGGAACTCAGCAAACTCTGTTTGCCAAAAGCCTCCAGGAGGATTTCCAGCTTTTGGGGCTCTCTTTTAACCATTTTTCCCATCACTGGAGCTGGGACTATCACCTGCCCTACAGGGGGAACAGCTCACAAAGTTCACTTGCAGGGATGCCATTAACTCAAAGTCCCTTCTCAGGGGGGTCACTGCACACCTTGGCCTTTGTTTGCCCTCCCCACCAAAGATGCTGCCAACAGTTCTGAGACATCTGGCAGACCCAGAGCTCTCCTCAGGGAATGCTTCCGCTGCTTAAAGGCTGCGCCCTTGCACCATCTAGCCAAGGCAGCAAATGCTTACAGGTTGTTGGAAAAGTTGGCATAACAGTCTTACCACACATCCAGAGGGAGCAATCCAGAGTCCACTCTGTCCTACCATTCCCAGGGAGGCAGTTCAGGGGCTGTCTGGGGCTCAAGCAGGAGTCACGGGGCTTCTTTTCTTCCTTCCCGCTGTCCAGATTTCCTCCTGCAAAAGCAAAGGTTTCTTGGCTTTCCTTGCTCAAGGAGATGCAGCAAAGGCCATCTTTCCAATCTAATACTGGAAACTACTGGAGGTTGTCATTTCAGGGGGTTCTCTCAGGTCCCGCACTAATCAATCCCCTTGGCCATTGGTTTTCTTGGCAGGTTCTGGCATTCACCTTCTACAAGCAAACCAGGAGGAGCAAATTTAGCTGTTACTGCAACCAATCCAAGCTGGCATTCTGATTTTAAAGGATACTGGCTTGGCCTTACCAGGAGAGATCCCACATTAGGGGTAATACCTACAGGTTCTGCCCTCTTCCACTCTCCTGCAGTTCCACTGGCCCACACCACAGGAACAACTGCAGCTGCCACTTCAGTCGGGACCTTGCTGCTGACAGGAGTTATTCCCTGCACAACAAGAGCTGCTGCTTTGACACATTTAGTTTCAGCAATTACAGTGTCAATATCCCCATTTTCAATTGCATTTCTGCCTCAACTTTTCCAATCAATCTCTTCCTAGCACAGGTTTGGGTGAGTTTGGCAAATACAGAAACTGAGGAATTACTCAGTATTTTTCCAGTTTAATTCCTGTCACACCAGTCACCTTAACACTGCCAGTCCTTCATTCTCCCTCTGTTGTGTTAAGGACTGAGGAAGTGGGACCTGTGTCTGACCAGGACATGTGCAAACCAAATGCTGGGGACTGGAACACACACCTTGCACTCCTGCAGTTCTCACCACTACATTCAAGAGAAAACAGCCAATTGGACCATCACTGCTCATTTCTTAATCCCAATCCCACACTTCTTTGGCACTTGGAGCACCACTTTTATCACCCAATTACAGCCCCTCAGAGAGCTCCATGTCTAGCATGGACAGCTACACCTGGGATACTCTCAGCAATGCCTGAATCCATTGCAGGGACCTTGCTTTGAACTCCCCAGGGCCGGGCACCCCGAGGATCTCCCCGAATAATCCTTTCGGTGCGCGCTGGAGTCCTCGGGGGGCCCCAACCCGGGGGGCACCAACAGCACTGTCCCTCCAGGGGGGCCCAATTTGGTCCCAAGGCTTCAATGGACAGCCCAAAAGGCATTTCAAGAGGCCTTCCTTGGAACCCACCAACATGTACGGGTAGGAAGCCACAACAAGGCCTCATTTCTAAAGGCAGGGGGATCTTGCCTGTGTCCCAGACTGGTCCGGGGATCTGAGGCCCTTCCCGAGAAAATCTCGGTGCCGGCGTGAAGGCCCAGAGATCCCTTGGAGCCATGGGAGAGCAGGCACAGAGTCCCTCCTGGGGGCCAATTTTGCTGCCTGAAATCAGCTCTTCAAAGAAGTCTCTAAGCCTCGGTGAGTTTTATAAGCCAGCCAATCTTTTATTACTATGCTCTTGAATCATTCCAGCCCACCAGGTGTCCTGGCAATCAGCTCTTCAAAGTGCACAAAGAGGTGTCTCCACTGCAGCTGATATGGCAACATTACAGGAGGATTCATTTTCCATATTTATTCCTGTTTCACATTCAGGACATTTTCCAACACTTATTACCATACAAACCTACCCTTATAAGCTTCCCAAGGGGCTTCACCGAGGGCCTTCCCAGGTCTTCTCTGTCTGGAGCCCTCAAAGTCCTCAGTGCCTGCCTGAGGAACCTCAACACAACTCACCTGCTTACACAGGAACTTGGTGCTGCTTGGCTGATGCCTC